GAATTTGACTCATACCTGTTTGTATGGGGCTGTTTCTAAACCTGAATGGTTGCAGTGGAGAAAGCAGGAATATACATCAAAAATGAGTGAAAAATTCCAGGATCCTGGCTGAAGTGAAAGCAGGATCTGACCTTTTGACTGAGGATAGGTAGGGACCGTAAGTGTCACGTAAGATTAGCAAAGGAAAGGACTTGAGAGAGATGAGGCAGGTGGAGCTGAGCAAACCCAGAGAGATCAGGAAAGAGGAGCAAAGTAGAACTGAGGGCAGAAAGAGAAGACCTGCTGAGAGAAAGGGGACAGAGTGTTGCATTGCACTTCGTTCAGTTTTGAAGGAACTCGCAGGATTTCATGCAGAAAATGAAAATATGCAAGGTTATGGCTAATCTACTGAAAATCCACTTTTTTTTTTTTTTTAGGGATGTCTGATAGGTGAATCCTCACATTTTATTTGGTCAGTTTTGCAGGAGGTGAGAAAGCAGTGTAATCCCAGCAGCTGGGCAGTGCAGCAAACCCTGGAGCCACACGTATGTGAGAATGCAGACACTTCTGGCTTCCAAAGCAATTAGCCCTGCCAACCTGACTTCTCCTGGCACCTCTCCATCCCACTTGTGGAGAGACCTCCTCCAGAAAGGACACAGCTCCTCACCTGTCCTGTGGCTTTTCCCATGGAAGGTGATTTATAATTCCCTGTTCCATGAGAGCACACCACCTGTGTAAGGGAAGTGGATTGAGAGCTTGTGCTTGCCCCTCGCTGCTTCTGGGCATTTGCTTGGGGGCAGGGCAGAGGCACAGGTGCACCTCTGAGGAGAAAACAGTTGCCCACATCTCCTGGCCTGATCAATCACACCAGGGCTTGTCACTTGGCCGTGAGAAGCTTTTATTTTTAGTAGATATGTGCGTAATTACATCACAATATTTTACTGGCTTACAAAGATGGCTTACAAACATGTATGGTATGCAGTAGTTTCAGTTCACAACAATTTAAAGCACAGACTGGAGAGGTGTGTAAGTTGGGAACAAGTGCTAAGGGAAAAAATCTGTTCTGTTTGAGTTTGCTCCAGCTCCCCTGCCAAGGGCAGGGACACCTTTCCCTAGACCAGGTTGCTCAAAGCTCCATCAAGCCAACCCTTGAACACTTCCAGGGATGGGTCATCCACAGCTTCTCTTGGCAACCTGTTCCAGTGTCTCATGTAAAGAACTTGGTCTTAATATCTCATCTAAACCTGCCCTCTTTTTGAAGACCTTCCCCCTTGTCCTGTCATTACAGGTTCTTGTCAAAACAGGCCCTTGTCAAAAGTCCCTCTCCAGCTGCCTTGGAGGCTTTAGGTACTTAGATTTTCAGTGCTGTAACGTGTCCCTGGATCCTTCTCCAGGCTGAACAATCCCAAAGTTCTCATCCTATCTTTGAAGGAGAGGTGCTCCACAACCCAGATTATCTTGGTGGTCCTCTTCTGGACTTGCTCCAACAGGTCCATGTTGTTCCTGTGCAGGGGACCCCAGATGCAGTATCCCAGGTGGGATTGCACCAAAGTTTAATCCAGGGACAAAATCATCTCCCTTGACCTGCTGGTCGTGCTGCTTTTGATGCAGACAGTATATACTGTATCCTATATCTGCATGTGTTACCTATTGTTGTGTGTCCACAGAGTGTACTCTCAGATAAAAGTGCAATCTTCTCTTAGAAGACAGTACAGCACCAATAGGCTGCAGAAAAGCAGGAATTCCCTGCATACTGTGCAGTTACACCTCTCTGCACGGAACGCCTTCCATCCCAGTGTGCTGTCGTGTGCTTCCCATACACGCCACCAGCGCCCGGCTTACGAAAGGCGCCGCATTCCTTCGCGGCAGCAGACGCGTGGGGGAAGCACAGCCCCATCTGTCACCGTCTTCTTAAATTCGTGGGCGTATTTTTAACACCGAGCAAAGGTTCCAACTCCCTCTTTCGGCGGGAACCGGCGCTGCCCCTCTCGCCCCGAGGCACGTAGGGGCTCCCTCCGCCGCGGGTACCCCCAGCCGGGGCTTCGGGGGTCCGCACCGGAGGACCAGGGGCAAGGCAGGAGCTGCGGCCGGGCAGAGCCCGTGGAGAGGTGTTTAACAGACAGGCAGGTGCTGCACTTGAGGACATGGTTTAGCTGTGGCCTTGGCAGTGCTGAGTTAATGGCTGGTCCCAATTATCTCAGAGGTCTTTTCCGACCTAAATGATTCTGTGCTTCTGGGTTTTTGTGATTCCAAGGGATCGCTGGTAGGTCCAAGTGTGGCAGTGGGCGGTAGCTGCTGGGCTAGCAGCGTACAGCAAGAACCATGCCAGGAGCTTGGACTGAACAGGTGAACGGCAGTGTAGGAAAATGTTACTGTGCCTCCAGACAAAATGCTGTGTATGGTTTCTCTTCAATTTTAGAGAAATGCTCCTTTTGCAAGCAGACAGGGAGCACCCACAGGTGGGCAAGCTGGTCTGGGCAATAGAAGGTTCTTTAGAGTTCTCCTTTGCTCCGATTCCTCTTGACCCACTCTGCCCAACTCCATTCCTTCTCCATCTTGTGGATGTTCCTTCAGCTCCCAGCTAATTGCCTGCTGTCCCTGGATTGGTACTTTCAAAAGCAAAGTAGCCGAGGCTGGTGTCCATCCAGAGGAGGAATGCCGGATCCCTCCTGCATTTTGCAGCACTACACTCAACTCTTCAGCTATTTTCTATTCCAAAGGCTCCTACTGGTGGCAAGAGGTGGAGATACATTTCTTAATAAAGTACTTCTGAGAAAAGCAAGAGTCCAATAAGGAGCAAATGTTTCTACTCTACCTTCTCCTGAGAAGGCTTGGTCATGGATTGGCTTTTTTCTCAGCTGTGGGCTGCAGCCTGGCAAAACATCTCAATGTCTTGATCTTGAGTGGGAGGGTTGGCCACTGCTGCAGAGCCCTGCTCTGCTGCTCACAAAACCAACAGCTACGAACCACTGGCAGCCCCCAACAGAGTCCTGTGGAATTTGAGTTAACAAAGACAGCAGGGCCAAGCTCTTCATAGCACGAGTAGGTGATGTTAGGGGCAACAGCCACCACCTGTGGATGGGGAAGTTCAGACATGACAGTGGGAAAAATGTTTTTATCCAGAGAGCAATGCAGAGTGGGAACTGTCACCTCAGCAATGGGACCCTCCTTGCCTGGAGTTTCCAAGCCTTGTCTGCATGAAGCCACGTCCAGCCTGACATTGTGCCAACCACAGTCCTGCTTTGTGCAGGCTGCTGGATGAGGTGGTGCAGAGATTCCCTTCCAGCCATCACTTCCCAAACATATTAATAGGGCAACGTAACTACCAACCTAGCCAGACTCCTTCAAGGGTATTCAGACCACTGATGTCCTGATATTATTGCATCCCAGCTCTTTTTTGTCCATTGTAATACGCTTTTCAGGACAAAGGCCCTCTGCAGGTCAGCACTGAGGTTAAACCTGCTTTGAGGAGGGCTCAGCCTCCAGGAAGGACCTACTGGAGTCTGTTTCCCACCTGAGTTATTTTAGGCATCCCTCTTGGTCAGCCTTCAGCATGCCTTCAGCCTTCAGACCCATACCATAAGTAAAACCATTGACGTCCAAAAGCTTGTTCATGTGCATTTAAAACAATGGAGGGCTGCATGTGACTATTATTATCTTTCTAGGCATAAAAAAGGTTATTACCTTAAAGAATGATTTGTATTAATCAAAAGTGTCTGTTCATGAAACATTTTCAGTTATACTTTTCAGTAAAACAAGCAGCTTTTTTTTCCATTTCTTGTCTCTGTGTGTGTCTGTCCCTTCCAACTTCAAACAAAAGGCTAGACATGCCAGGAGCTGTGAAGTTCTATGTGTGGGTTTTTTATCACAGTCTAGTGATTTCAGCAAAGAGCTGAGGAGGCTTCTGCCAACTTTCTCCTCATCTGAGAGGCACAAACCTCAGCAGGAACCTGATGTCCCAGGGCTCCTTCTCATGCTCTGGCAATAGTCACAAGTAACCTCCCTTAGCAGGGCTCTCAGACTCCTCGGGGCACCAGCTTCAAGGTCGGTCAAGGCCAGGAAAGGCCACCCTCAGTTCTTGTCCCTATTTTTCTACTCCCTTCAAATTAAGGACTATTGTGAAGGTTTGCCCCATGAGTACATCCAGGGCAGGTTTGCAGCCTTAGAGCTGGGCTGGGCCCCAGGCCATCCCCACGATCCCCTTCCTGGCCGTGGGTCCCTGCAGGGTGACTGCAGTGCAGTCAGGTGTGAGGAAGGGCACCCTGGGGAAGAAGCAGTCACCCAAATGGTGAATGTAGGCAGCAGCACATCCAGAGCTCTACAAATTCACATCTCCACACCTCTTCCTTGGGAGAGGGCTTTTCCAGCATCTCCCACATGCCCCACACTTACTGCTTGCCCCATGCAGAGCCCTGGTGCGGGAGCGGGATGCTGGGCAGGCAGAGAGCAGAGCTGCTGTTTGTTGGTGTGGAGAAGGAGCTGTAGGCCATTTTCTGCATGCAAATAACATCCCAGCCTTTCCCTGGAGTGCCCTGAGTCCATCTCCTCCGTGCTGTCTGCCCTGAAGCCTGCAGGGATGCTGCTGTAGTGCTCCAGGGGCAGTGCAGGGGAGGGGGACAGAGGGACATCCATGGTGGTTACCAGCACGCCCCAGCCCCACAGGGGGTGTGGACAGGCATGGGAGAGGGATGCAGTGCAGTGCTGGGAAACCTCCAGCTGGGTGTGCCAGACAGAGCAGCTGCACGAGCTGCCTCCTCTGGGGCTGGGATGAAAAGGTGCCTCTCCCTGCTCCAGGCTGGCAGGTGCAGCAGCGCTGAGCACAGAGCCAGGCACGCAGAGCCAGGCATGCAGAGCCAGGCAGGGCTTTGTCCCTACCGGGTTGGCTTTGCAAGAGCCCCTGGCTCCAGGCAGGGGAGCGATGGAGCCTGTTGAAGGTGCTGGTCCTGCAGCTGGACTCTGCCTCCTGCCATCAGGGATGGTCCATAAGTCACAGGCCAGGCGAAAGGGAGGGGCTAGTGCTGCTAGACGGAGCTGGAGCCGGGCGGCTGGCCATTGCTGTTGCTCTCCGAGGGGGTCTTGGCAGTGGAGGAGGTGGCCAGGGAGCCACTGTTCCTGAAGATGCGGAGCAGCCTCCGCTTGTAGCCCCGGAAGGCGAAGAAGTAGATGATGGGGTCGATGCAGCAGTTGAGGTTCATGAACGCCACAGTGACTTGCAGGGACATCTTGAAGGCTTGCTGCTCACGGCAGGATGGCTGGTAGAGGATCTTCCTGACCATGAACTGGACAATGTTGAGGTGGTAGGGACTGAAGCAGAGCAGGACAGCCAGCAGAACCACCAGGATGACAGTGAAGGCCCGGTGGTGGTGCCCGTTCTTCACCGTCAGCGGGTTCTCCTTGGCCGTCTGGCAGAGCTTGAGGTTGATCCTCACATAGCACACCAAGATGATGCCCACAGGCAGGAAGAAGCCAAGCATGCAGGCCACCAGGAGCAGGTAGGGCAGATTGGGAATCTCCTCGAAGTTGAAGTACTCCATGCAGGTCAGCTTGTCTCCCATCCTTCGCGTCATGGGCCGCAGGAGCAGCGGAGCCGTCTGCAGGAACACCAAGGACCAGATGAGGACACAGATGCCCCTGGCACGGCTCATCTTCCGAATCCTGCCGGGGTGCCTGGTGCGCACCACGGCAACGTAGCGGTCCACGCTCACACAGGTCATGAAGTAGATGCTCACATAGGTGTTCATGTAGAAAATGAAAGCTGTGATCCGGCAGAACCAGTCCCCAAAGGGCCAGTCAGACTCCAGAATGTAGTAGGCGATCCTGCCTGGCAGTGCCAGGGTGAAGAGGGCATCGGAGAGCGCCAGGTTCACCAGGTAGAGGTTGGTGGAGTTGAGTTTCTTCTTCCTGCGCTGGAAGGTGATGCAGAGAGCCAGGACATTCCCACAGGAACCGAACACCAGCAGGATGATGTAGAAAAGGGAGAAGGTGACTTTGGTTGAGAAGTGGTGGTTGTGCACATTGCAGCTGCTCTGGTTGCTGGAGGTGAGGTTGATGGGCAGGAACACATCCTCCACAAGAGCCATTTCCACAGTGCCTCACGAGCTCTTGTTCTCTCCCTTGGAATAAGAACACACGTGAAACTTGCAGCTTATTGAAAACAGGAGTGGCACACTTAGAGCTGGCCCTCATCACAAAGCAAAAGCCCTGTCCCCTGCTCTAGCCACCTCCCCCAGCAGCACACAGCTCGAGTCATTTGGAAAAATGCTTCTCTTGTGATTTTGGTGAGAGCATTTCAACAGTGGCTGTGAGTCAATTCTCCTTTTCTTATCACGAGCTACTCTTAATTTTGTTTCTTCACAAGTCCAATCAGTATGAGAAAGGACTGGAGGTGCTCGGAGGGGTAATTGCCTGTCACACAAGGAAGGTCCCAAACTCATCTGGTGGCAATCATATCATTTACTCATTACTGCAAGGAGAATGAGGAGCTTCATTGAGAAAATGTTCAGGAACTGGAGGGGCCGGGGACTGGGAGGGCTGGGGGACCGCCGGGCAGAAGTGCTCAAGATCACTTTCGCAACCCTCGGGCAGGACCAAAACTTCAGCAACGAAACTAATTAATGAAGAAATTAAAAGAGAGGAAAAAACCTAGCCTTCCACAAAAAAATCCCCAACCCAACTTTCCCCAACAATCCCGTGACCCATGCTCGTTCCGATCATGGAGCTGGGAACACCCCGGCACCGAACGCCCGCTCCCCGCACGCCCTCCCGCCGCTCTCCCGGCTTTGGACACGGGGTCCGCGCTCGTGCCTGGCGACAGCGGTGTCCCCTCGGCTGCGGGGCTGCAGCAGCTCCCGCTGCGCCTCTCCCGCCCGCCGCTCACCGCACGCTGCCGCCTCCCGCCGCCGGGCTCCGCTCCGAGCACCGCCGCACCGGGACGGGACGGGACGGGACGGGACGGGACGGGACGGGACGGGCGCAGCGCTGCCTCTCGTCCCCGGCGGCGCGGACCCCGAGGGCTGGGATGCTCAAACTCACAAGCACTAAAGGGAGGTCAGGGGCTCCAACCTGAGTGCGGCGGTGCCGCCGTCGTCTTCTCTTCCTCCTCTTCTTCCTCCTCTCGCCCGACTTTTGGGGGGCAGCGAGCGCGGAGCCTCCTGCCCGCGTCCTGCGCTCGGGCTCCCCGGCCGTGTGAGCTCCTCCCGGGATTCGCTCACATTATAAAAGCACCGTGAGATTTGGGGTTTTTTTTGTTTGTTGTTTTTTGTTGGGGTTTTTTTTTCCTTAGGGTTAGTAAAACTGTGTTCTTTCTGGGTGGGGCTTTTTTTTTTTTCTTTCGGTATGTGAGAGGCACGCTGCCGCCGCGGGGGATATTCTCAGTAGTGGCTGTTCAGGAGAAGATAAATGACTGTACCTGCGCGGTAATCGCTCCCGACATCTAAGCCGACTTCGGGTTTTATTCTGAAAGCTTCTACAAGGATGCAAAATGCAACTGAACGATGAAAACAACTTCAGCTCTGTTTCACGTGCGGTCCAGAGCGCCCAGCCCGGGCACACGCACAGGGCCATGGCAGCACGATCGGACCGCGGCGGCTTTTACAATAAAGTTGTGGCAAATTTCCAAAGGAGCTTATTGTGCCTGTGACCAGTGCAAGCCATGCTGTGCCTGTGCTGAAACCCAGATTTGCCTTTCACACACACACAGAGACATCACCAGGCACGGCTCCTTAGCGCAGAGACTGAGTTGAACGAAACAATTTGCCCTTAGTGGAAAAATATTTTTGTTATTAAGATGATACATTGTGCGGTGAAAGTGGGGCAAAGCCACTTGTCCCAGCTGGAACTCTCACGGCGGGCTCTGTCCCCACAGAGTGCTCGGCAGTGGAGGGCTGTGATTTATCCCTCAGCCCTGTGTGTGTGTGTCTTACAGCATGGAGAAAATACTTTCCTTCCCAGCACTTCCCAAAATGTTTGCAGAAGTGCAGCCTGCAGTGTGGCCAGCAGGATGGCCTTCCCCATGGTGGTTTTTTTACTGGAGACCACTAGGGTTTTCAAATCCCAAGAGGAATTTTTATGCTTTTTTTAATGGTTCTAGGGTTTGGGGGTTTTTTGTGGTGGTGGTGATGATCTTGCTGGTGTCTGGTTTTATCCCTCAAAAAAATTCCTAATAAACCAGGAAATTCCCATCACGGGGCATTCGGGGCATGCTACTGAAAAACTGAAGGCAAGTAATACAAAGGTTAAGATTACAGTTAAGCTAAACTTCCATATTTCCCTCTGGGTCAGTAAAGCTCAACTAATTATTTAATTGCATAATATTTCTAATGTTTTAAAACAGCAGCATTAAACTCAGTACTAATCTGTGTACTCATGTACTGTGAGTCATCTGTATAGAAATTACACATTATTGTCATGAATTTACTAGAAGTTGAAGGTACTTAGCAAGAGTAATAGTGAAAATTGGCTAACAAGCTTATCTGTTAATGGAGATACTTTTGTTGCTCGAGGGTTTATATTACACAGAGGGAAAGGTCAGCTAATAACAGAATACTGCTGAGTAAATTATTAAAAAATATTCCCTAGTAAAATAGGGGTTTTCTACTTGCACATCTGTCAAGAGTTAAACTAATCAGACTTGTGTGGGGCTGAAATGTTCTTGAGCTGTTTCATCGTGATGGTGAAAACAGCCAATGGATTTAACATTAGAGAAGTGTTACGTCTACAGAAATCCTGAGCCCACACCAGTGAGTAGACCCAGGACTATCCTTTCACCTCCCTAAAGCACTGCAGGACAAACAGCTGCAGCTGAAACAAATACCGGTCTCATCGAGTCGGGGCCCACTGCGGCACTGTTGGTGCAAAGCTCCTGCCCACCCTCACTACAGTCTCCCCCATGAGAGTTTTATCTCCACAAATTAACACTGTCGAGGAAATAATTTGGATGAAGCTCAGCAAAATGCCACTGGCTTCCACCCAGGGCCTCACAGCGCCTCGGACCGGTTGGAATCCCCAGGGCTCGGCAGGGATGGACGGGGATGTTGGCGATGCAAATTCACGCCCGGGACTTTTCCGTGCAGTCAAGCGGGCCCTTTGCACAGCCCCTGCCGTCCCTGGGCTCCGCGCTCACACAGGCACTGAAAGGAGATCCCAGAGGAGGAATCAGTGCTGATGGCCCAGAGCTGCGACCTGCCTGGGCATGGAGGGTTTCCCATGGAGCCCACGGGAGCGGGAAGTGCTGGCGCTGTGTAAAGGGGGACCTGGATAAAGGAGGGTCGGCAGGGTGTCAGCCCCTGCGCAGAGGAGGGAGATGACCAAGTGGCATCACCAGCCTTGAAAACAGATGGAAGAGCCCAAAGCTCTGAGTGACAATTGTGCCCAGGGCCTTGGGAATAAGACAGAGGGAAAGCAATGCTCTCCACCTGATTTTATTTTTCTTTTTGCAGTGCAGAACAAAGGAAGTGGGTTATTCTTTTGTGCAAAACACGCTCCTGCCCTGTGTGCAGCAGGTGCTGCGCTACAGGAGTGCAGCCCAGCTCCACCCGTTTGCACGGCTCCAGCAAGCCCAGCACGGCTGCACCACCCCACACTGCACAGCAGGCAAGGCCCTTTGGATGGGGCAGGGGACTGAGGGGATCCTCTTCCCACCTGTGGGGATCCGCTCCCTGCCTCTGCAACCCTGCATGAGCTGAAACGGGATCTCCCCTGAGACAGGGTAGAGAAGCCCTGTCCAGCCCAGTTTGCAGCCATCTCATTTGAGAGATACTGCCCTCGACAGAGCCCAGTGGAACGTAGTGTGGGATTTGAGCAGGGAGGTTCAACTTCAAAGCTGGATCTATGCTTTCTTCTATTGTGTCCATGTTTGCATAAAGACACTTCCCTGGGCCTAGCAGGGAGCAGGCATAGTCCCATAGCCCAGGTATCCAACCCAGTGTGAGCAGGACCTGCTGTCCTGGAATGTCCCTGCTGCCAGGGACCCAGCCAGGGCACAGGGACACCTTCTGGGGGAGTCCTGTGCAAACACTTGGCATGGAGGGTCTCTCTCCTGAAGTGTGCATCATGCTCCTTAACCATGGCATGTCTCTAGCCAGATCCCCGCCTGGCAGTCACCACATGCTACCTCCAGAGCCAGGTGTTGGGTATTTCAGAACAGATGCGCACCTCAGAGTCACTGTGGCTCTTCTCACACCATCCTCAGAGCACATCTCTCTCTGCCATCCCATGAAGGCTCCCTGCAGCCTGCTTTTGCTGCTGGAGACCTTGCCATGGATGTTGCTTCCCAGTCCAGCAGAAAAGCCAGGCTGCAGCTCCTGTGGGATCAGGTCCTTGAGGCCATCAGCCCAGCCGTGATGGTGGCCGCGGCCGGCGAGGGAAGCTCAGAAGGAGCCACAGCTGCAGGCACGTGCTGGGAGATCCATCACTGAGCTTCCTCCAGGGCTTCTTCTTCGGGTACAAAGCCACCCTCAGGTAGCTGTTTACATCTGCTGGGATTTCCCAGAGTTGAGAGATGATCTGGAGCTGGACTTTCTGAGGGCAAGGCAGCATAACAAATGAGGTAACAGCCCCTTCACAGAGAGACAGCAGGAAGCTTGCGCCTCCTCTTTCCATTGTATCATCATCTCTCCCCCTTTTGTTTTCCACATTGGCTTTGGTTACATTTTCTCTCTTCTAGTGCAAAACATTTTCAGGAAGCTTTGGGTGCAGACACAAAAATCTCCAGGTGCTTTCAGTTTTGATGCAACAGGCAAGGATTTTCCACAGCTCAGCCCCTGCATCCCAGGTCACCATTACTCATCTGGCAGTAGAGCAGAAATTAGGAGAATCCCTGATTTTGACATTCATCTGTCCATTCAGTAACAGCATCTACATGGGGAGGACAATATTTTAGAGGTTTTAACTTGATATGATGGGAATTGTAGAGGAATAAAAGTCTGAAGATTCCTACCAATTTGTGATAAAAATCTGAAGAAAACAATTACTGGAGTTTTGATATGTTTGAAACCTAATCTGGCCCTAAATCTAAGTGGGAAATACTGAATAACAAAGCAGCTGAAATCTGCTTCTGCATGATATGACTGATTTTGTTTTG